CCCGCACCCCCCTCCCTCGCGGGCCTGAGCTGCCCCAAGCTGTGCGCACGGATAGTCAGAGGCCCAAGGGACACGCTGGGTGCAGGGCGCCGTGGGCCAGCTGTGCAAGGGGCAGGGGGCAGTACTGGGCTTGGTGCTTTGGAGGGAGAGGAGGTTGGCATTTGCCAAGCACCTGGCCAGACCGCACGCACTTCCTCCTCGCGACAGCCCGGGAGGCGGCCGAGCCCAGAGAGGCTGAGCCACCTGCCAGGTCACAGCTGCAGAGACCCGTTCTTTCCCATCCTGGCCCCGCAACACTTGTCGTGGGCAGAACAAAGTCCAGCTGTGAGGACAGAACAGGTGTCCGGCCTCCAGCCTGTGCAGGTGAAGGGACCATGGAGCCGGTCAGGGCTGCTGCTCAGGCCTCTGGGGCCTTGCCCTTCGAGTGGGGGGGGCCTGCAGTGGCCACACAGGGAGGAGTGGCTTGTCTTGGCCTCTGTAGTCTCATCTGTAAAATGGCCCCAGCGATTCACATAGAGGGCCTGGGGGACAGGGAGCCCAGTGGGGAACCAGGGCCTGTGCCTCCCCAGCTCACACGCACAGGCTGTGGCCAGCTCCAGATCTGGAGGCTCCCCGAGGAGGAGCAGGGTTGGTTGCAGGGGGTCTGCTCGGCTGGGAAACATCGGTGGTTGCCACTGACAAGCTCAGGGTGACGGTGGCCACTGCCGAGGCTGCGTCCGTGGACGGGGGCCCCTGGCCAGCAGGTGGGACCCTCCAAACCCCGTCCACCAGCCAGGGAGTGAGCCTGCTGCCCCTCCCACCGGTGACCCGCTCACAGCAGCACCTGATTTGGGTAAAGGGATGTGGGGGGACCACCAACCACACAGCAAGACAAACCTGAAACCAGAAAAGTCTTTATTGCAAAGGTACAAAAGCGTCACAGCTGAGATGTACAGCAATAAATTAGGCGGTGGTGTGGGCGCGGCACGGGCATGCCCACAGGAACACGGGCCACGCAGAGGGTCTCCTCAATAATTTATATCGGGGTCGAAGCAGCACAAAAATAAATATTGAAATGAAATTGCTGAGCGCTGAGGCAAGGGGGTGAGCTGCAGGCGGAGCCTGCCCGGGGTGGCAGGTGCCCTGGAAGACCTCGGTCTGCGCACAGGCCCTCGCCTCTCCTCTTAAATAAAGTCCATACATTAAATGTGACAGAGAGTTTCAATAATCGGAAAGGAAAAGCACGAGGGACACGCCAGGCTTCCTTCCGTGACCCTGTCCGCGGGGGGTGGGACCGGGCATTCTGGGAAAGCAGCACATCG